CTGACGGTTTGTTCTGCCTAGGTATGCGTCACCACAACTACAGGTGAATTGGTATACAGTGTATGAGACGGAACTGGTTTGCCAGCCATGTTTACGTTTGTCCAAAACAATTCCACGAGTGGAGGCAATGAGTCTGAGTTGAGCAGCTGGAAATGTACGGTCTAGAGCCGACCTTAACTTTTGGGCACATCATTGTAAATGTGATCAACTTTGAACGCAAGCTCGATGTAGATGGCTTCTTTACTGACGCTTGGGGATGGGTTACCTTTTAGGAATGGTCTACTGTGAATATCTATAAACCTTTCAGGGTAACCATTGTCTAGCAAAGTTCTCCTTAGGAAATCCTGTTTTTTCTTCAGTGTATCTGGAGAACAATTGTGTCTTGCTCGATGAAATAGGGTTCTCACAAGCCCACGCTTGTAAGTCATGGGGGAAAAGCTGGAAAAGTGTAGGTATTGACCGTTTCATGTCGCCTTTTAGTAGATTGAGCGTTGTAGCGTCCCGATTATCCGCATTCTAACTTTTATGTCAAGCAAAGCTAGTGTTGTTCGTTTCCGTTTCATGAGATAGAGATAGATATGGATGGAGTTCAACTGTTGTAAAAGTTGATTAAATGTTCATCCATGTGAACGATATTTATGTGCCTGTTTGTTTTGAGTCAGCGACTGAGAAGATTAAATGAAATGTTAACATCTGGCGACATTTTTCTTATTTTTTAATGATATTGTTTTGATGCTGTTAAATTTTGTTAGATATGAATTGTGAACTGTGGTGTTATCCTGCTAGAAAATCACTTAAGCATGTCAATTCGTTGCCATTGCCACTATTAAGTGTCACTCCAATGAACGAATCTATACATCGGAGTCTTCCACACCATGCAGTTTGACAACTTACGTTGGGCCGCTGCTCCAAAGGGCACCGCATGCCATCTTACGTCTATTCGATCGTTAATCCGCTTACTGATATGCCTCTATTCCTCACACAGATCACGCCATTTGTAGATTCACGCGGCAAATCCGTCTAACTTAAATATGTTTTCGTCGCCAAAATAAATAAAATTCCATTGGGTTTTCCAGGTTGCATCAATTTCAGCCCCCAATAGCCGTTTTCCGTCTAGAAAGCTCAGAGAATATTGTATTTCATCCATGGATTGGTTTTGAGTGACCGTTGCATCGTTTGGACTGAAGCGCTCAACTCGAGCACCGTTTTCATTTCCGATGCATGACTCACGGGGTTTGGGGTCATGTGTAGCAATTTGGATTGATCGTTCCCTGAGAGCGTTTTCATTTCTCTTACCGCAGTGGTTCTGGACATATTGCTCAGTTCGACTATCTCATACGTGCTCACACAGACCTCAAAAAAGTCATCACTTCCGGATTTCTTTTTATCAGTAAGTTCTTTCAACCCTCCGTGGTTGGCAATGTCCTGTAGTGACCTGCTTGGACGTCTGTTCCCCTTCAAGGTCATTCAGAGTGACATGAGCATATTGACACCGTCAACAGTGCTCACGTGACCATCATGAGTCATTACCTCCTCACAGTATCCATGCTAATGTACAAACTCGGGATGACAAGGGTACTCGCATCAAGTAAACATGTGAAACCCATGATAGAGAGAGTGCGCAAATTTAACAGTGAAAAAATGCTTCTTAATGAAGTCTCTCTAAATATAAAGATGATTTGACGATTTTTCGTTTTTCGGGTTGTCATTCTGTTTCCGTCTAGATCCTAAAAATTGGTGATGATCGTATTTGCGAGCGGGGAAATAAGTCAAAAATCTAGGAAGTTGCAGTACTTTTATTGCGGGATGTAATTGACGTATGGCGTCTAAAGCACCAATCACATTGTGAGATTACTGGGGTAGAGGATAGCCGATTGTTTCGATTGGAGGTATGGAGGAATTCATAGTAGCTGAAAACGCATAGAGGAAAGTGGACATGATAGTATAACATGGCGATTCTATACTAATATCTGTGCAGCAGTTGACATACACAGATCAAACGAATGCATAAGAATAATCGTATTAGCTAAGTGAAACGACGAAGAATACGTCATTTGCCCAAACAGCACCACCTTGCTGATCACCGTAGCACTTTAATCCACCGTGTGCACTAGGAATCATGCTGACGTCGTCAGATGGCTAGAGAAAAACAGAATAGCAATATTGAAAACATCTCAAACTGTTAATCAAACAATATCCTGTGGGATTGGGAGATTGGACGTGGCACAGGTGGCGGGAGATCATCCAGCCAGTTTGCCGAAAGGGTCAGAGACGATGTTGAATGTAGCAGGACGGATAACAGTCAAAGGTCAGTTGCAATCGAACGGCCGATCGTACTATCTAGGAACATGAGATCACCCTCCAATGTGCATACCTGAAGTCACACATTTTGCAGCATGGAGCGGTAACAGGACATGGAGTTTGAATCGTTGACGCGAACGTAGTATCATGGACAAAGATAAAGGGGGAAGAGCATCTTCTCTTCAAGTTCTTCCGTCCTACCAGCTCATTTAATGAACACAAAAACAGCCAAATGCATAACATAACGATTACACGATCAAGGAGGAACCGAGGAGGGGTGAAAAGACAAGTACATGAACACGATAATACACAGCACAAGAACTCCCAACTCATTCACAAACTATTATTTGATAATAGGTCTTGTTTATAATAAACAATCGGTTACTCTGATGAAACATGCTCCACCTTTTCGACCACGGAATCAATGAAATCCGACAAATCTCAAAAGATTCGATTCACCTTAGGTCAAAATCAGAACATTGGTTATACGAGGGAAGGTATTTATTGTGTTTCTCTCAAGCGTTGTAACACAATCCGATGTCAATCATACATAGTTACGACTGGCAATGCAGTGCTATTACTGCAAGGGTAGTAGTTATTTTCAATGGTGGTAATCGTGATATTCAGGCGCGGGATTTGGAAAAGCCTTTATCCCAAACAGTCGAAAGGCCAAAATGTTTGTTGAACCACATTGGAAGCCGTGTGAATAGTCCTAATGACTCGGTCCAAAAGGCAAGAATGAACAAAGGCTGTGAAAATATTTGAACTGGGCGAAATAAAAAGGAAGAATCAACTAAGAGAAAGAGAGAGAGAAAAGCCAAACGTCGAAAGGAACAGAAACGTCACACAAAGTAATCGTGGAATAGAATGGGTTGGAAATTGGAAACTGGATGCAAAACAAGGGGGAAATGAAAAAAAATTTCGGTAGTTGTAAAACTGACAGATTGAGGCAGACAAACACACAGGCAAACTAGGTTGCGTTTTTCAATGTAACAACGAAAAGAAAAGATTTACAAATGACCAACCAACTGGTAATTGTGTGTAATCTCTAGTTCAGTATACAGATTTGCAGTGGCTGATGTCCTTGGGGCTACGGAGCCCGGAATTACGTGAACAGAATCACACTAGCGAGATTGGGATAAGAGTGATGTGGTTTTTTTAGGGGTGTGTGTGGGGGGGGGTGGTGGACAGGAATAGGTATGTTTGGACAGGATGGAAGATGGATATAGGTCTTTTGGGGCTGGGGCTAGATACTATGTGACTAGGGTAGATGAGTGGGAAGTACCGTTTAAGATGTTGACAATAGCGGGGGCGAGGGGAGAAATTTCATTAGGTGTTCTTTATCTGTATATGTACCGGTTCACTCTTTGTGTGTGTGTGTATGTGTGTGTGCGTGTGTGTGTGTGTGTATGTCTGTGTGTATGTATTCGAATAGAGGAATTAGTGAAAAGAGTTTCGTGTAACGAAGCATCACAAAATGGAAATGATCAGTTGGGATGTTTATTGGCAAAGAGACCAGAACATCAGATCGTCTGTCTACCGGTGTGCGTGCGTATATCTGTCTGTTCGAGCTACACATTTCTTTTATCTATTATTCTCTTTTTTTACCGTGTTGGACTGAACTTGAGCTATTAAATAACAGACGTATTTTTAGGTTTAGGGACGGGTGGGTAGAGAACGGGATTCAAAAAAATTGACTGGAAGAGCTTGAGTTTGTCAGTGAAGTGAGCTAGGTTGGACTGTGTGGACTGGAAGAGGTATTTCAATTGATTGAATGTCACTTTTGAATGAGTTGTCCGGGAGTGATTTTTGTCTAAGCATTGGTATGTGTGCGCATTTGTGCGGTTTGATGGGTTCTACTACTACAACCCCGGGGTTTCAAACTATGTACAGTACAAATTGTGATACTACACAAAGAGAAAAAGATTACAACTTTTTCCGAGATTAATCATCGGAACACACAGAAAATGAGAAGTAATCGTTCATGGGATTAATCGCACAAATGTTTAACTAAATCTCGAGCAAACCAATCAATGAGAACCACCAGTACGAAAATAAAAGTGTGCGTAATGACACAACTGAGCTGAGTCGAGCTGGTTCGTCCAAGACGGTCGTAAAACGCTTGCATAGGTTGATTGTGTAACACCAAATACACTAACTATCCCGATGGTGATAGGTAAATTTGGAGGAGGTTGTTCGCGTGAAATGGAGCCTGTCGCGCGCGTGCTTTTAATTGCCGTTCAACTCTACCTCTGTATTAATGTTTGTATACACGTGTGCGCATAAGGAAAGTGGGGTAGGCGAACTGCATAGTTATTCCACAGTGTGTTTCACTGAATACAGTATTGTCGCCTGAATATTTGGAAGTAATTAAGCGAGCAAGAAGAGCGAGTCTGGTAATGAAAAAAGTTTCAGCTCTAAGAGCACCTCTGCGCGTCAATTAGTTGAACTTAATTGAGATGAGAAATACGTTAAGAAGAAGTATTTCATCTAGACCATAGTTTGTGTTTTGGGGAAATGGAAATTGCAGTTTTCCTCGTGGAGAGCAAAAAAGTGATGTAAATTTGAAAAAACCAAGCTAGTTTACTCAGCTCTATAATACTGTCAAATTCGTGTGTTGTGATCTCTTGGTTTGTGACTTTTTTCGTGTTGCTGTAGAACCAGCGGTTGTGGTGGCAGTTGTCGCCGCTGTGGGTGACTTAGACGAGCCAGCAGCACTNAGCAGCACTACCAACAACGCCTTGAGAACCGGGACGACCACCATGTCCAGTTATCTCACGCGTTTGTTGCCTTGCCCGAGCAATTCGCCTTTGAATGAGTAGATCCAGGTACTTTTCTGACTGGCTGATCAAGCCAACGACTTCACTGCACGACAAGCCCTCGACTAGGACGTCATTTACCTGCGGTAGGGATAAGACAAATTGACGGTATTTTAGACGAGCAAATGGTCATTATTAGTTGACGTCTTGTTCACAGAAGTTTATTTATTGACTGATTAGAATTGACCATCCTTCAGACTTTTCATTCCGGCACATTCCTGAACTCTTCCAGTCAACCATACACTGGGATGCAACAGACTCGAGTTTCGCTCTTATTAGAGTTCATAAGTAGTGCATATCCACAGTCCCGTCCGGGATTTGAACTCTGGACCCATCGCATGGAAGGCGTGTGCGTTACCACTGTGCCAACCAGCTCATGCCAGGGCTGAACCGCAATGCCAATTCATGTTTTTTCACGTGTCGTCGTCAGAGATAGTCAGTCTATTTCAATTTGGCCCGATAGCATTATTTGGTTAAAGCTGGTAAGTAATGAAAATATGGGATAACCGACAAAGAGGACTGAACAACCGTTCTATCCGGATTGAGACGCGCCAAACAGATGAGCTCTATCCTTGTGTCCCCCGCGGAACATTAACTACTACACTTCCATTTGCGCGAGGAAACCCTGAGGTATCTGAGGTTGACAGTCAGCAGCCGAGCGTAACAACATTAAGCATACCCTCTTGCTAGAGAATTCGATCATAAAATAAACAATGTGTAATTGAGGAGGAGGATTTCAACTTACATTTAACTTACAGTTATTTGTGATTAGTGGTGGTGGATAATTGATATTGATTGGAACTGATCATATCATACCGTATCACACGAGTGTATCATGGACTGGAAGAACTAAGGATTGTGCGCGAAGGTGAAGTCTGAAGGATGGTCAGTTCCTATCAATTCCAACTTAATTTGCTTGAATTGCTAATTAGTCACTCAAGGTTTATACCAAAGTCAGTTAAAGATTATCGAAGAATGTAAGGCGAGAGTGTGGTGCGGTGATGGTGATGTTGTTGTCGTTGGTATTGTTTTCTTGTTATTGCTGGTGGTGGTGGTCAACTTTGCTGCGGAATGCATATTCACTCTCATCTTATTTCAACAAGATAACACACCAATCCAAGCGGGCCCTACGCGCAGTTTACCACAAGAAGGTTAAGGGCTCAATTTTCATGTCCCCGTAAGTGACCTGTGGGTCTCTGTGACTATTGAACAGTATTCCTGGGAATGTCGCAGTAGTGTGTCATAACAACCAACCCATCCGGGTGAACCATTACGAATGAAGTCATACATGATGAAACATATCCATTTCAAGGTAGCGGAATGAGCATGCCAGAAATACCTTTTGAGGCTCCTCAAATATGTTCTCAAATACGTGTACCAATCTCGTATAGGAATGGGATTCCAATGGACCAAAAAAACGCTCGTGGTTCACAGTGTAAACTGAAATCACTTGTATTCAAGTTTTGCAACATGTTCCATTCGCGAGCTTTTTATCGCCTTTAAAGAACTGTGTGAACTGGCTCACTCAATTGTCCATTCATTAAGTTCCTTAACTAAAATTATTTTTTTCAAAGCTTATCTTCGACAACTGTTACGGTGAAATAATTGCTAGTTGAATCGGAGACCCGTGGTGAAGGAACAGTCTTAGACCTACGAGGTGCTCGAATTCGTCTTCCGTGGCAAATTAGACCACTCCTGATATAAATGCTTTGCTTCGTTTTCCTGAATGAAAAATTTTACATTCAGTTTTCCGGTCGGGAGAAAAAGACAGCCACATGACTGCCCAGGGAATAACAGATTGCAAGGCACGGCTGTGACAGCTATGTTAGTAACCGCAGTAGTGGCCGTGAAAGATGTACATAGATAAAAATCAATTTACGGATCAATTGCTGCTCTTCGAACTCTTCAGTTTGAAAAACATAAAACCAAATGCTATCTATCAACAGATCAACCTAAGATCGTATTCGTTTAACACTTGCCTCAGGGCTTTAAAACAGCCAAAATTGTTCTGTACTATCCCATAACACAGGTTAATAGTAAGTGACGAGGTGAAGCAAAGCATACTAATCCAAGGTTAGCAACTATCTGTCGGATGGTAAATTTCTTCATGCACAGGGCAGATGAAGTGTGAACTGCAAAGCTAATAAGCATTGTACAATTGTTTTAACTGGATGGGGTCTCATCAGCAATACGAATCCGGTGACCTTACAGGTAGAACGCGAACATACTACGAGATATCGGCCAACCAGGAACTACTCATCGAGTGTACGACGCGTGTGAATAGATGTGACTGAAAATGCACCCATGGAACTTGGTAGATAAATTCTCAGCCGACTTATAACTACCAACTATCGGTATCAACTCATCGTCAATAACACAATCATTTGCAATGTGCCGGATAGGACAACACATCACCTGTAAGGCTAACTGCTGTCTATTTCAGGTTCATTCGTAAGCATATTTCACCACTAGATTCCAGGTATATCGTTTGTGTTTTCCTTTTTTGAGGCAATAATCAATTCTTGTGGATCTTCAATCAGACTACTCACTCACAAATCATCACAAAACATATGTTTCCTTCAGTCTTCCCACATTTTATTCAGATTATGATAAAAGTTATCAATCAGACTAAAGTAGAGTTCATTCACGGATGGATGCAATTGAACTTGGGCAATGTTGACTATCTACACTGTCAATTATGATATCCGTATTGCATCTTAGATAGATCAACCAAAAAGGACTACTATTTGGCTGTCAGTAACCCCTTTTGAGTTATCAGCAAAACTCAGCTTGTGTCAAAGCCTGCGTACTACCACATGCAATCGTTTTCCCGCTAATTTTGCGGTAAATTATTGTCCACTGTTTGTGATTTCAACTGATAAAGTTGGGGGCATGTACATTTCTCTAAACTGAGCTTCAGTGCTTGCAAAAGTTACTCACATTGCAATACAATTCAATCAACCTGTGCTCGGCTAATTAGCAATAAACATACCATTAAAATTCGATCGTAGAGATGAAGCTGACCGGAACGATCGGCTGAAGAGTTAGGGCGGATCGCGCTAACAAAAATCCCTCGAGTGGAAAGGCCTTCGGAAACTCCGATCCCGTATGAGTCAGCAACTGACGCCTTTGTCAGACGAATCCATGTGCACCACACTCCCTTTTCATTTGATCGGACTGGTCTATCCCGACTGGTGGAAGTCACTTCCGGAGAAAGAAAGTCACCCGCGTTGGTCACTGGTCGACCAGGGCCGGCAGCTGATCGATCAACTCCCACGGGGCCTCCATGTGAACCGGGATGATCACGGGCGGTACTGTCAAATTCGAAAAATATGAAAGCCACACATCAGAACATGCATCAAAAATGTTCGCTTAGCGGAATAAACCAATTTTTCACCAACTGTTTGAATGACGATACGGTGGTAGTCAACCATCCCTAGTGAAATATAAAAGTGAATTTGTGGATATTTTAGTGGAATAGTTAGTGGCTTTTTGAGGGTAAAAATCTGTTCATTTTTACTTAGTGTGGAATTCCACTGTGTGAAAAAATGTGCAAATGCATTAATTTTTTGATAAAGCAGTAGAAAAGGCACTTTCCACCGTTTGGTAATGGAAGATGGCAACCTTAGTCCAGTGAATTTGAACTGTGATCCACACTAGTATCCTTTAAGATAGCAGGGAGTTCGATCACCACGTTCCTTCTTAGACCGTTGGGAGATGGACAGTCCTAACCCGAATCAAATGTTTCATACAGAATGTCTGAAACTTCACAACGTGGAGTTACCCAAGCAGGAACATCCTCTAGATCGCAGTGTGACAGATAACCTAAGCCATGTGGTGCGATCTGCGATCACATAGTAGTAATATTCACATGTAAGTAATTATGATTTAAGCTACTCATTCACCAACTCATCAAGTTCACACCGGTAAACCGTACTGATCAGAGAACATGAACTTGTGAACTCGTTCTTTTATCTGCCGTTGTGAATACCAGACTGAATGTGATCTCAATGATTGTATTCAATCACTAAGCAGAAGTAGGAGATGATCACACACACACATGAATAAATACGGTTCTTATCGGGGTGATGAAGGTATAGATAAAGTTTTCCTTCTCCACCACATCATACACCTTCGCTACCAATTTAAACTGTACAACAGTGCTTCGGTAGGCAGAGAATCACTTGGGAAAAGAATAGAAGCTGATGGAATGCGTAATAAGATTGTGAACCTTTGATACCATACTATTTAATCACGTAAGGGAGAATTCAGTTCTCGGAAAAATAATTAGAGAGATTCCATTTAAATCTCGGTGTTAGACAGGGCTGCCATGCATAAATGGTGCAACTGAACTACGCTATATATATATATATATATATATAAACTGGTCAAGCATTAACAAATGGCCAGGTATTCAGCTTAGTTCCGATATTCTTCTAGCCAATCATCAATTTTCGGACGATATACTTGCCTTGGACGACCTTGATTGACAAATCTACCATTGGTTTGGGACAGCGTAGTAAGTTGTGCAAAGATACTTTGTTGGGAGAACATCACGTCGGAAACGAACTTTGTCTACACATTTTATACCTCATCCACACAACTAATGAATATTAATGGCCAACCCACGGCTGACATAAAAAATCAATCTGTAATTGACGTACGAAATTCAGCACTATGTAGAAAACCTTCGATGCATGTTCTTTCGAATATCTCAAATCCAGTAGTCTCGAACACCGCTGCGGCCATTTCTAGATTTGTCCCTCAGTGTGTTCTTTCTGTGTAATGATGTACTGTCCTCCTGCAATTTTTCCTGGCTTTAAACAACAAGCTTTTTAAAGTTTAACTTCGCGAATGATTATTATTGTTCGTATTTTTGCCCTCTCCATTGGTCTTCTGCTTGCTGAACTTATTGAACACACCGTCTCTTGACCCACCAAATACTTCAAGATCTAATACATCCATTACATTGTTGCTTGCATTCATCCCCCCGGCTCAGAGTTTCGATCTCTATTCGCTGTAATCCATCTGTTCCGAAGTTTTGCACACACACACACTGCCGCACTGGAGTTTCCGTGAGAGTAGAAAGATTAGGAATGGAACTACTTGCCGAATTTGAGCACTAACGTGAACCAGTATCCGATCAGTGGGTTGACCGGATGAATTTCAGACCTGTGTTTTCAGACATGGTGGGCTACGTTCATTCGCTAGTTGGATCGATAGGTTTGCACTGGTGACGAGACCCCACCAGGTCAAAATGGCTGTTCAGTGCTCCCCAGTGTTTCAGTTCACACTTCATTTGTGCTGCACAAGGCGAGATTTACCATGAAATTAAAGTATGGTGTCGTCTCGGCCCCAAAGCAGGTTATGACAAATTTCTAGCCTTGACTTTAGAGAGTGCACAATTGCCTTGGTTTCCGTTTCGCGACACCCAGATAGTCCTAGGATTTAACCTTCGAATTCACATCTAGTTGTTCATAGTGCTCTGGAAGAAGTAATTATGATTTGTGAGAACCACCTCCCGAACGTTTTGAAGAATGGTGTGGGATAACTTGTATTGATTTGAATTGACCATCCAGTGCACTTCATCGTCGCGCACAGTCCTGAGTTCATCCGGTGATATTCACCGTGTGAAGAGGTGAAACCTTTTAGCTTGCCCTTTGTGTCCTGTTCAATGAATTAATGCTTTGACTCTTGGGTCCCGTTAATTTCACTGATTTTTTAATTTACTTGTCACCTTAAGGCTTTGTTATACTTTTCGTTGGTTTGAGTAGGAGGCCATGTGCAGTTCTGAAATGGTCCACACAGTCGCTAAACAGGTGAATCGTATGAAAGTTACTAAGATTGTAGCAGAGGCACGACGGAATGTGTTATCCATCGTATTGGGAGATGAGTGATTAACAAACCAGGTTTTCCATCTCGGCCAACAATCGAGAATGATGAGCTATTAAAGTTAACTGCTACATCTTATTTTTGTCCAAGTAGATAGTTTCTACCAGAAGCGGTTTGCGATGATTCTCTGTGAGCTCAACTACCAACTTGCAGCTGCCGAAGGACAAAACAAAAATCAGTTTTATGTTGCGAATTTGGAATATGGTCTCACATGCAGAATTGTGTGAATTGCTGAATGAAATTCGTAAAGGTTTGTGAACGGTTGAGTGTTGTTCATGAAATGAAATTCCTATAGATTGCACTTTGAACCGCGTCACATTTGTTACAAAACCAATTCCGAATACTTTGGGAAAATTTGACAAATCATCCTGTCGAATGTGCGCAGTATTCGTGTATCTACCATTCCAAACAACTTGTTTTTCTATTGCTATCAACCGGGTTCCCCAAATCGATGCGAAGAATGCATGTGGCACTTCAATTCCAATTAAGTGCATTTAAGTTATCCGGCATAAAGACGTGCATAACTCCTGTGGCTCTGAGACGAGAACACAACAAATGGACACACTTGAATGATTCCGACCAACAAGTTTGCTAGAATGGTAATCAGCTGACATGTTCCCGTNCCGTGAGTCCTCACTCCACGGGATTGAATGCTTCTCAATTGCGATTATCATTTCTCTTTGTCATTTAGAACTATAGTCGTTTTTTCATACGAAATTCCTCATCTTGATGAAGAATATCCGTTTTCGATCTTGCTCTGGTATACCTCTTGATATTCACAAAGTGAAACACTCATTCGGATTGATTTTACTAGTTTGACTGGAGTTCTTTGGAAAATTACT